GATAAAATATTTCAAAAAATATTAAATAGGATGACTAGAAAAAATGTATTCTTTGAGATAAATAAGATAAGCGTAGTGTTTATGATATTTAGAAAAAATATATTATTTCGAAAATAATTTAATAGAATAAATAGAATAAATACATTAATTCAAAAAGATTTATTGGGATAATTAGAATAAATGTATCATTTTAGAATTATAGGAAGAGCATATTATTTCGAAAAAAATGTTTTATTTTTTTGTCTATATTTGCGGGATAAAAAACTATGCCTCGAATCTACACTTTAAACGATGTAGGTAATAGTAATAGCAGTAAACTTGGAAGTCTTCCATCCAATCGATATCTACCAAGCTGATTAGAACTTGAAGAATAGCTAAAAAAAGATTGCGAAAAGTTTATAAGATCTGCTAAACAGTTTATAACTAAATATCATGTCTTAGATGAAAAAAATAAGTATATGCAAAATGATTTAGATCACTCGTATGAAGAAAATAAGCATATGCAAGATGATCTAGATTACTTGCATGAAGAAAATGAGCGTATGCATAATTCTATGAATCAAATTATCCCTCTAGCTAATCAACTAAATGGTTTGAATAATAAGCTTATCTCCCAAATTACTTGCGAACAAAAGTCTCATGCCGATCTTAATGCTAAGCAGTTAAAAGAAATAGAATCGCTAAAGTCTACGGTTAAATCACTGAAAAGCATAATATCTTCGATGCAAAAAGCTTCATCTTTGAAGGATTCTGATATCATCTCTCTTGAAACTAAAATAAATGAACTGGAGGCTGAGTTGAAACAAGCTATGCAAAAGTTTTATTAAAGGATTCTGATACTATCCAGTTATGTAGCAATTCCTCTCTTGAGATTAAAGCAAAGGAATTGGAAAATGAACTGGAGAAAATTACGCAAAATTCATCATTTAAGGATGGGTTAATTTTCTGCCTCAGATTTAGGATAAGTGATCTAGAGTACCAAGCTGAAAGAGATGAACTAGAACAGATCCCTTTAAAATCACATCCGTCATCTAATGATTTAAAAACAGGTGGCGATAAAGAAGAAGAGGTATCCAGTTTCTTTTCTGAAGACGCTTAGAGCAAGACCCCTCTTTTTCTTCACACTGCTCAGAACTTGAACTTGATGAAAGGAAAATAAAAAATGAGGTGAAGTTCCCAATAGATCACACTGAACAAAAATCAAAAGAGAAACTCGATAATAACTATCCCACAATATCACCCATTACTACTTCAAGGTCTAGCAAAGCTTTGATTAGTAATGAGAAATTTGGTTCTTTTTTTTTCAACTTGCAATCTTTCTTATAATACTATTACTAATCATATACTTCCTGTGGTCTATCTTTTCCCATCTATATTCTTTTATTCCATTCCTTAATGAAAAGAAAATTTTTCTGAAATATATAATACCATGGTTTCTAGAGACCTGAATTCCAAAAAAATAAAAAGCTTTTTACAATATGAACTGACGAACAACTTCGAGTCTTGATCGACAACCGTAAAGAAAATAATGGAATGTTTCATGAACTAGCTGGAAATGGAAAGAGAATTTTCTGGAAGAAAGTCTCTACAAAGATCAACCTTCGGTTTGGAACGTCTTATACTGGTGCGCATTGTAGGAAAAGTTCGAGAGTCTTAAATGGGATTGTAAAGTATATAGAAATCCTTCTGAAATCTCTGAAGCCTCAGCCATATGCATATAACGCCTGATGTTAGACTAATTTATCTTTTCTATTTAGCGTATAGAAGCATACATTGATGGTAAAGCCAATGGAAAAAAGACTAAGAACGGCCTCAAGTATTATGAAAAATTCAAAGAACAGTTCTGGAAAATACCAGGTAAAGATTAGTTGATCAGAGGAAGAAATATTTATGAGAAGATATACTAATCCCTA